TAAAAACGGAAGTTTAATATTCAAAAGAGGAAGCTGAAAGTTTTCAGCTATGCGCCATTAGACTGTCTGTGCAAATCTAATCATACCCTTGTGGAACATAAAAAAAGAAAGAATTTTGATGGCACTATCGAGACTGTTAACCAATGTAATTTGCACCACAACTCACAAAACGAACAAACCGTGTCGACACAACTGCTTAAACAGTAAAATATTCTGCCTCAAAAAAAATATGTATCAAATTTCTAAATAAATTGTCAAAAACTTTATCACCAATCTCAAAGTTTTGGACTACTTTCTGACTTATATTGGTCCATTTTTGTAGCCCTTTTTAAACCCTTCAATCCATTATATAAATTCAGGTCGTTCAGATGGAATGTATGTTACAGTTACTTTGAGAAATGTTTTATTTTTTAAATTAAAAAAATAAAGAAAATGTTCCTTTAATAACCAGTTCACGTTTGATATTATAAAAAAAAAAATGGCGCAAAAGAATACAGGACAATAAAATGTCAGTTGTTATTGTAAAATTCAAGTGTACAATTACGACAAATGCCTATCTCACTGCGACAGTTTTACTTCCGCTGATAATTTATGCACAAACACACCCTCAAGAGAGTGCTGGCAGTCTTCGCATGTATATACACATGGCCATCAAGACAATCCAAGCCCAGACATCATTAACTCCATCATGGCCACTAGTTGCCATGGTAACTGCTCAACGATGCCTATCCCGGACTCTTCTTTTTCTGCCTCCTAAATGCTCTGATCAATTGATTCCCGAGGATTAGGTGGGTGAGCCACATGTGGGTTTGTTTCGTCCTCCCACATCAACAACAAAATGTTATCATGGGAATGACAAACCGATAAATTTATATCGGTGCAATTTAATACTTGATGCAATTTATAGGATTAGTTGTCCATATGTTCACGATGGTAGATTCAGAGGAGATTCACCGACTACACTGGCATGTGATTAGTAAAGCAATATGTTTTATTGTCCTTCAAGATGTTTGTGATCGGTCCGACATCTTGCTGCATAATAACCAATCAGAATCATTCACAATATAAACTGCTTTACTCCCAGAGCATCATGGGTAAAAGGATGTGACATTTACACGTTTAATCATTTAAAGCCAGAGTCCGTCATTTGCAGCTATCCAAAAAGTAACTGACGTAATTATTGTTGAAAAACATACTTGGTTGAAAGATAGTAAGGGGACTAAACTCCCTGTGAAATTAGTCTTTCTGGCAAGCTGTCATTTTGAAGAAATCAACAAAAGAAGGCATTTCCAACAGTGCGTCTTAAGAAGCACTGTTGGAAATTTCCGTTAGTAGTTCGTTTTTTTTATTCGGCGAAGCGCGCGCAAGCGTTGACACGACGCACAAGCGCGCGTGGTTGCTATAATTCGTCAGATCAGTGCGCGACATCGCGTAGATGCAATCAGCTCAGTGAGAACGTGTCTCGGATGCTGAATTCAGGCCCAATTCAAAACACGATTCAGCAACTTTTGATTTGAAATTGAGATCCTAGCATGATGTTTTTCTCCAAATATACAGCTGAAGCCGAGCTGAAACTTCATCAGGTTAGTTGTTCAGCACCCTTCTTTAGATTTTGAACACGTTTGTTGCTTCAAACGAACAAAAATGCACAAATCACAAATGATGGACTATACCTTTAAACGATAAAAATTCTATAATCCGTTTACAAATTTTCCAAAACATGAAATGAAATACACATTATAGTAAAGAGACCATTTACTCTATCTGCCCTCAAAGTAATATATGCATTCCCCCCCCCCCCCAAAAGGATGCATTTAAACCCATTTTATTTCCAAAGAAAAATGACAGTCCATTATAAATGATCCTTTTTCGTAGATCGGGGTCGATTATGCCTGTCGTTTGTTGTGCACTTACACATATTCATGTATACTAGCATGCTGGAGTGCAAACATGGCAAGGCAGCAGCTTTTGTGAAGTGGTTAAACATTTAAACGGTGCTTAATAGGTTTGCTAAAAGTTTACAAAATTAAATGCAAAGTCCCATCCTTAATCATCCATGGGAAAAAAACAACAAGTATTAGTGGGAAGTGTCAAACAGTATTCAGTTTGCACTACATGAAGGTGAACAGGACTCAATATTTTTTTACTGTTTTTGGATACGCAAGTCCGACTTTTTTTCGGTGAACAACATAGGTTTCATCATCATCTAGCAGTCGCAACCGAGATCCCGCTCACAACGCCACGCCAGGTTTATTATTCATACTAAAGCATTTGTGTTTGATAGAAACCACACTGAATCAACTGAAGAACAAGAAACATTGCAGATCAATTATAAACAGGATGTCGACAGCAATGTCTTAGAGTGGCCTCATTAAATCCCTTCTAATGCTAAAGGGAAAGTATCAGGGCAAGTAGCAAGTGACTGTAGACCAGGGGAGGCTTGTGTCCCTACACAAGCTACCTTTCTCCAATTTGGCTCCAGTCGGCAGGTTTCAGGCCCACCCCAATGGGGTCTTGTAAGGGCAGATCTGGATCCGCAGATCTACTCCTTTGGAGTCCAGAAACATCTAAAATGATTACTGGCCAGCTCAACAGGGGTAATAATGTGATTTGACCATGTCTATGAACCAATCCAACTTTGGAAATGACGGCGATGGTTCTGGCAGCCATTACTGGGACGCTTTCATGCCTGAACGCCCATCACAAGTGCGTTAGGTAAAACGTATGTCACTAGAAGGAGATGCATTGTGTGACATACCAAAGAGTTGGAGCATCCCAGTAACGGTGGAAAGACAGCCTAGTAAAAAAAAAAAAGTGGGCCACTCAGAATGGTCTAAAGGGCAGAGTTGTAATGGCAAGTCCGACTCGAGTCACAAGTTTTGGTGACTCGACTTGACTCAAGTCACTGCGAGCAAAATACTCGACTCGACTCAAGTCCCTCATCAGAATGACTCGACTCGACTCAAGGAAGGCTAATAAGACCAAGTCCCAAAAATAAAAGCAAAACTTTGGGAAAAATATTTGCAATGATTTACGCCGGTGCCGCTTTTTGTTCACGTCACGTTAATAGAATGTTTGCGAATAATGTACACATATACACACGTGGTTTGATCAGTGTCCCCATTAGCTGAATGGCGATCAGCTGGCACCCCCTTTTTATTTTCATTGAGTCAAATGTGGTGTCACATGTAGTAGCCTGAATGTAAAATTATAAAAGCCCAAAAATGACTTTCTCTCTTGTGTTTATTTATTGTATAGGCCTAGCGTTCAAATATTTGTGACTCGAATTGACACGAGCTAAATACCGGTACTTGACTCGACTTGACTCGACAACACACTGTGACTCGACTGGACTCGACTCTTCTTGACCTACATTGTGTACTGACCTACATTGTGTACTGACTCAACTCGACTCGAGTCACTTCTTTAAAATGACTCCACTTGACTTGAGTCACAAAAATCAGTGACTCATTACAACTCTGCTAAAGGGAAGTCACACTAATGATAAAGAGTACAAACAACTTTCATCGTTATCCCATTTCTCAGCTCAAGCCGTTTAGCCTCAACGTGCATCCAGCCTCCTGTTACGCTCACAAGGAATGCTAAACTTCTCTCAACTCCACTTCAACTTTTAAAAATACATCTCTGCCGACTGATTAAATAAATACGATAAGGTAATTGATTTGACGACGTGTCAGCTGTTGTGGGCTCAAAACTCAAACATGTAGGCTTAGTGAGGTCCAGACTTGAGATAGGAAACATTACATTAAACCCCGGTTGGCGTATGATAAATAAATATAGGCTTTGTTTTTAAACGATTAAAGGTGACTCCCTCCCCTCCCGCACTGGAATTTTTTTTTCACAAATTCAGCATCAACTACAGCATCTTCATGATATACAGTGAAAACAGCACTGAAAATACAGCCTAAATTAAGAAATGGGGATGGTTTAAAGAAAGATGGTCAAACACCAATTTTTCCACACACAAGTCTATAAGATGTGGTCAACACAATAGCACTGCAGGCACAAAGAACTGCAATAAATGTACTTAGGTCTACATGACTGCCATAGATGTGGACAAACTACATGTAGTTTTTGACCAGTTTTCTGTAAATGGTCGCTATTTCTTACTTTGAGCTTTATTTTCAATGCCGTTTTCACCATATAGGCCTACTACCAAGATCTTGTAGTTAAGGAATATCTCAAAACAATTTCAACATGTCTCTTCAATTTTGGTAAATCTGCCTCTGAAAAAGTGTACATTTTTGATGGACCACCCTTTACAGGACAAGTTTGTTTCTTCAGAAGCTGAGACAAGAGTGACAGTATAGCATGAGTATAGCAACTTTTCCTTTGTGCCTAAACTTTCTCCCTCTAGGAGTAAAGAACCAACCCTACTTCTCATTGGCCCACAGCCAGGCCATGCCAAGTGTTGCAGAACAAGATCTCTGATTGGCTGGTTACCCCTTCACGCCTCCTAAGCCATTGGTTAAAATTTGTGGCTCTTGATTGGCTATTTTTATGATTACCAGATCCCTCTTTTGTCACAAAACGTTCTATGGGTTTCTTGCACAAAATTTCTCAATAAGAAAGCACTGCAGTAAAGTGACATGAAATAACACTTGGCAGTAAGTGCCATCCTTGTTCATTACACATGTATGAAGAATAGGGGAAGGCCAATTTCAAAATTTGCCGCTTATAAATAATTTGATCATTTTGTGGTAAAATTTAATGTGCAGTGGCTACAAGAATAATGGATAGCAAAAAGGTACCTATTTTCCAGATTGGTACATACAATTGTTCTCCCCCCAAGGAGAACAGTTCTTAGACAACTGATGGGGCTACCCTGGTAAAATAAAACGATACATTTTGAAGAAGCAAAAAATTTGAATTCTTCGAAGATTAAAGGTGATCACAAAACCTGTTGAAATAGACTTGCGTCAGTCCAATATACTCATGATAAAATACTTGACCAAAACAAACAAAAACTTGGATCTTACCTTCCACTTGGATTTGGCGACAAAATTCTTCTTGATCTGTTCGCTGACGGACTCGTGAATATCCTTATCGAGGGCAGTGTTTCCTGAAATCCTGTCAGATGAACAAAAAATAAGATTTAGCGCAAATAATTAACGGCACTTCTTCGCCATCATTCCATAATAACAGCTGCATACACCTGGCACAAAATGAAGCTGAGCAGTTTTTGTATTAAATCATCCCTGTCTGGACATTTCTGGCAGAACAACAAATCTGAAATTTACGTTTTGTTACAGAAACTTTCCGGTTCAATTTTAATGCCTCACTTGGGAACACTGTTTTAAAAATAACCAGAGCGCAAGGGCTGAAGCACCTGAAACCCCAAAACTAAAACTTTAGCGAGATTTTCAATGGGCATTGCAACACGCAATTGAATGCAATGATGCAGGCCCCGCATTCAATTGCGTGTTGCAATGCTCATTGAAAATCTCGCTAAGTGCAACTATTAGTTACGGGATTTCAGGAGCTTCAGCACTTGCGCTCTCGTTATTTCTTACACAGTGTTCCCAAGTGAGGCATCAAATTGAACCCGAAAGATTCCCTGACAAAACCTATATTTCAGATATTTTGTTCACCAAGAAAGGTCCAAACAAGGATGATTATAAAACCTGCTTAGTTTTTTGTAACATGTAACATTAGGGGTCTTCATGCCACTCCATGTGGCAAAAGAAAGTGAGGAAAAGAAATGCAGTTCAGATCTGCTGAATATACCAGTTTGGTATTCCAACTGCGAATGTGCACATTCAGATTTGCCGATTTTTCTTTCGGGATAAATATTTTATCGTATGTGTGCAAAAGCAAAATTGAAGGGATCATCGTGTTCCGAAGTATAACATTTTGCAAAAAAACTTTGGACAGCAAAGTGTTAGGTGTCTTGTGTGTCAAATTAATTTTGTGCAAACAAAAGTTCCATCTCTTTTCGATTGCACGAAAAATTGCACGAAAAATTTGGTTACCACGTCCAACATATCCTTGTGTGCATACATATCTGCTGTGGTTATCCCGACAAAAAAAATATTAGTCGAATCAAGCTGTGCACCAGACTATTTTGGAATTTACCAAACTCGCTTATTGCGATTTTTGACTATTGAATAAAATAAATAACCTGAACAAAACTGAATAGGATAAGCAAACACAATATACATGTTTACAACTCGAGCCGAACTGTTAAATATTTGATGGAATTTTGTGTAAGGGTGTTGTAAATCTTTAATATTGGCTAGACTGCCCTTCACAGAGGCAATTTTATATTTATAAGCAAAAATAGTTTGTGTGTAGAATTTGAATTTAGACAAAAACATTAACGCAGTTAAAATGGCATAAAATTAAATTATTTAAGGGGAAAAAAAGATTGTTTGTTGGGCTGTATTGAGCAAGATGTGGTTGTGTTTTGTTTTTGTTTTTTTTGGGTGGGTTTTTTTGGGGGGGGGGGGGAGCTATATGTTACTCAGGACTGTTGCCCTGACAATGAATTTTCGGTAGTTTCCCATCTTGTAAGATACCCATCACTGAACAAGTTTTCTTCACCAAATCCCTAATCAACTTGACATATAAAAACAAGCCATGTTTATGCAAAAATATTAGCCCGCCTAACAAAAACACATCCCCTATACCCGCAAAATATTAGCAATCGGAAATACGTATTTGCCTACTGCCATCACGTTTAATTCGTTTTGTCAGATTGCACAATGCGAAACGAGGAGGCACACAAAATTAATTTCACGGCGGGTTTCAGATGGATTGGTAGCATATAGGCGCAGTTTCCTTTAGTCCTAGCGACAATGTGCATTGAAGCGTTAACATTTCCATGTGCACTGCACTTTGTCGTTACGGTCTGTGGCACCGTTGGCAATGAAGTCAAATGAATACTCACATTGTAAATGTTCTTGTACATGAAACGAATCCGCATTTTGTGCAAATGACCACTCACACCACAATGACAACAGTACACTTCTATAGATTTGAGCACAAATCTGAGCCTGACGAGATACATGTATGGTAAAACATACTAACCAAATATGGTAAAAATTGGTCTGTATGTTTTCATGTTACATTGTTAACCCATTTTACTTTAATACATCATGCAGAATAGCAGCCAAATGCTCAGAAACTTTCTTGAAACATTTTGGTTACTCTGAGTAACCCCTTGCACTTTATCGAGAAATATGTCTGAATGTCACAAAACCTTCCCCAACATCATGGAAGACACAGTTTCCAACGGCAAATTGTCAATTTAACTCTCTTAAAACAAACTTGGATGCAATGATTTTCAGAACGGTATCAAAGAAGTCTCCGAGGTTGAGTAAAATATCAAGCATCCCTGAATTGAATCCTCACCACCCTCTCTCAAAAGAACTGATCAAAACACAAGTCTGCTGAACACAGACCCATACCATATTTTTCATAGTAATTACATGTACCGGTAGATGGCCACAAATACATTAAAATGTGTAGCATCTTTCCAAACTTCCCTTTAAAGTCAATCCATGTAAAAACAAAATCCGGCCATCTTGACTTTGAAACCCTAAAAGCCATAAGCGGCTTAAAGAATGAGACCAGGGTTTTTCTAAACAAAAATTAAACATTAAAATATACATAGCAGTAAACAAACAAACAAAAACAAAAACAAAATGTGGAATCTTCTTTCTTAAAAAAAAAAACTCTTTGTGAAAAATCTGGAAGGCCTTTTTTCTTAAGGGTCCATTATTCAACGACGTAGACATGTGAACAATCTTCATTACACCTCTACCTTGCCAGCTGCTAATTACAACGAGAAGAATCCCCACAGCGGCATGGCACCGTGAGGTAACATTATCGGCAAGGCTCGACTAATGATTCCCAGGCCCCACGGAATGTCTTAGCACCGGCGGTTAATCTAGTCGTGTTGATTAAAAAGGGGAAGAGCTGCTTGTTTCGTTCCTTGGGTCGTTTGAGGGGGGTGTGGACATATTGATGTTGGCGTGTGTGTGTTGCAATTACTTTTTCTCTCTAGTGAGAACTGCGCTGTGATAGATGCGTCAGCATGGTACATATGTAAGTCTAGCTCTGTGGTCTTAAGCGAAGTGCAAGCTGACTTGGGTTTGAATTTATGGATCGGATCATTCACGCTACTTGATCAAAACCAAAATGTCGTGAATTTAGAGCGTTGTCAAACTTTTTGCTTTAAATTTGTAATTTTGCTTTGTAATTTTTTACCTACAGTACATGAAGATTATGTGAATTAAAAATGAAATGGAAGAAATGTCCGATTTACATGTACATATGGCTATTTTTATGCTCAACACTGCTTGTAAATAATTTTTTTTTAAAGTTAAATTGTTCAAACAAGTGATCCGCGGATTGCGTGTGTCGCCTTTTTCCAGGGTCGATCCCATGGGATCGGCCGTGGAAAAAGGCGACACACGAAAACATATATGTTTTCTGGCTTTTTTTAAGGCAAATTTTATGCATTTTTAAACGACCTCAAATGACCCCTAGATGACCTTTGACCTCCAATTGTGATGAACCCCCACCCAAGGATCACTTCATCCAAGTTACATTCTGTAGAAAAAGAAACGTTTGAAGCATATTTGAACAATGACCGTTACATGACCTTTGACCTCAGTAATCCGATAAAGAATTGTTTCTTCCCACCTCATGCACCGAGGGTCACTGTCTCCAAATTTCATCAAAATCAATGAAAGCAAGTAATAGTTATACATTTTTCTCAAACAATTAACCTAAACTTTTAACATACATACGGGTCTACGGTCATACAGGGTACGGACATTCCAACGGATGGGAGTTCTGGGGTCTTTTTTTTTTGTTCTTTTAAATCCCTTTTTCTAAAGATTTCACTTGTGGGGTACCGTTCCCTTCGTTCGGGTACCCCACAAGTAGCTCTGGTGTGTACGGTCATACGGGTCTACAGTCATACAGAACTTACGATATACCAGTACTTGCTAAGCAATGTTACACAAATAGTGAATGTTTATGAGTGCAATGGTAAGAATAATCTCATAAAGGTGACAGATGGAATGTTCCATTCCATGAAGCGAAACCAATGCGAAACGTTCATTATTTGTTTCATACAACACCTGAATAAATCCTCGTCGTCTGGTTGGTCAGAGCCGCCAAAAGTGTGACCCTGCAATATGGAACTTCCATTTACTGTGGAATGGAACTTCTATTTTTGCTGTGCAGCCGCGCCGTGCGTTGGGACGAAAAATTCAAATGACACGACCCACCAATAAGATGATAGGGATTTTTTCAGGTATTGTTTTACATCATCTAAGCTTCCCCATGACGTTGGGCAACTGTAGCATTAATGATGCACATTGAAGATGCACATTAAAGATGCACATCATTTCATGCTAGCAGGTTACCCTGGCGACACTACCCTCCCTGAAAGATTGATTCTCCTCATGAAAATTTCAGGTGTTTGGAGAAACCAGCTAACTATTTTATAACGTTTTACAAGTCAACAAACTATGCGCCCACCCTGGGGGAAGGGGGGGGGGGTGGGAACAGTCACACATGGGCAATTCCTTCAATCACTCCAACTTAGCTTGCTTGATTTTTATATCTAATATGGAACTCAGTTTGAAATACATGTAGTCTCGTCAGCCTCGTCAGGCTCAGTGATTGGTTACCAACATTTTTATGCATTAAAACTGGATGGAAGAGCACACGTCATGCGTCATGGGCTCGTGCCAATTGCAGGCTTGACTGACTCAAAGGAGGCTGAAATTGCAGTCAGCTCGATCAAATGTCAGTCACAAGTCAAGTGACAACTCAAATCACCAAACTGTGCCAAGTCAAGTCACAAGTCTGTTGACAACTCCACCACAAGTCAAATCGTCAAGTTGAGTCTCAAGTAACAGGGTTTGAACAATGACACAGTTCATGTGAATAGTCTGTCATCTCACTCAAGACTGACTTGTAATTGCATCTATGACTTGACAACAACTCTAGCAGGGTTTTTTGCTCTATAAATTTAAGGTCCAACGTGTGACATTTTCCTGTCCTTGTTACCTTAGTCTAGGGCCTAAATCCCGGGGGGATGGGGAGGATATATTCCCCACCCCCACCTTTTGACCAGTGGGGATGGGCCATTGTATCATCCCCCCCCCCCCCAGATTTGTGAGTTTTAAGGTGATCTTGTGACTTTCCGGTAGTCCAAATGTATTACCTCAGAAAATCAGAGAACAAACCGTGAACAAGTACTAAATGCACCATTTTGCAGTAAGGTTAACGGACGCAAGCGCACAAGATTGCATACATTTCATTTGCATACAGCGGCCTCTAGTGTCATGTGTGGTGTCCCCCCCCCCCCCCCCCCCACTTTTCAAACCTTCACGGCCGGGCAGTTTTAGCTTTGTTTGCTCATCCCATTCCCCCCCCCCCCACTCGCCGACAGGGATTTACGCCACTGATCTTAGTACTTCATAATTTGCCATTCAAGTATCATTTTAGAATGACTTCAAACCGATTTTGAATTTGTTGGGTAGGTAGCCTGCTTTCATAATCACTCTTGGAGAATGACTGCATCAGGGAGTGCAACAGAGGTACGAAAAAATCATAGATGTCATATGCAACAGGGACAGTGAAAAACAGTGGACCCCTAAGGCCAAAAAAAATTAAAAATTCTGGTATGCGCGTGCGTCGCCGTAGCCATGCGCGTCAGCAAAATGAAAACGTGTTTTTTCAATGTAAGATGATGTCTCAAAACCGCCAAACTCACTGGTTTGACTGGAATCCTACTGCTGCACAATTTTAACCTGTTTTTAGATGGGGTTACGATCGAGTATAAGCTTTATGTGGCCTCTCTGGACTCCCATATATTTTGCACTAAATTGAGTCTGGCACCATTTGCAGTCATCAGCCGACATTTGAAGAAAAAAAAAGTAAAAAAAACACAAAAAAGCTGCGTCACCGCACCACTTTTGGGGCAAGCTCCATACCAGAAACCGGAGACTTTTTTTTTTTGGCCTAATGTATAGAATGAACCAGAAGTAAATCGACTCAAATACTACAAAATCTGTGAGAGGAATTAGGATAGGGTTGAGATACTTGGCGTTTAAGACTCACCATGGATGTGCTATGGCCTGTAAACATGTATATCTCTCCTTATGGTCAACCTTCATTAGATGACTGATGAAGTCTTTAGCTGTGGGGAAAAATGAAGAAAAACAAATAGAAGGGAAAAAAATAGAATTACTGAAATTGATCCATGCTACAGAAGTAATGCATCTTTTACTAAAAGAATTTCTTTCTTTTTTACAGCTGTCCATTGAAGCTATTGAGCTGAGTGAGAATTACAGATTACGCACAGGCATTCAAATACAACTGAGATTTGAATAATTTGAGTCAAGACTTAAACATTAATTATTTTATGTCAGATTTTGTGTTTTGTATATATGAGGAACAACTCTGAATGATGATGGTGATTTTTGTCTGTTTTCCTTTGAAAGTTTCATTCATCCATGGAGGTAGGAAAACCCTACGGTTCATTGTATTTAGAAGGTATTCATCAATACGTATCGGTAAATGATCAGTGGCGGACAGCTGAATTTGGTGGACTTTCTGTCAAAATAAAGATGACTTGTGATTAGAGTAGGCAAATTACGTGAAATTTTCACAGTTACTACTCGGTAACGTGTACTTTATTCCTATGTTTTTTTTATTGAATGGAGTGAGCCACATATTTTTAATACTTTTTTCTGACTCAGTCGCTTTCTTTTTTACCTCTATACCAAAGATAGTTTGTATAGAGGTTGTACATGCATAGGGATGTTAGCCCACCAATGCTTGTACGTGTTTAGGAGGCATACAGGGGATGTTCATTTAATGTTCGGTACAGCAGTGCTCCATAAGGTACATGTAGCATTCCATGGTAATATAGATATTTTTATCCCCTGATCTTGAAGAAGTCACAAAGTTATATTCATGTATAACAATATTTCAGAATATGATTTTAGGTAAACGTTATCTTTCAGGATAAACCAAAATGAGACTAAAGTTTGTACCATCAATGTTTTTGTAAACAAAGTAAATTTTCCGTTATAACTTGGAACATCAGTCCAAGCATTTCCAATAAACATTTGCATCAGTGCCAATGTACTTTTCTGTCTAGAAATTCAAATATAACTGACGGAGTGTTGCTCATCCTTTAAAAAAAAAAAAAGGACACAGGAAATGGCAAACAAATTAATAATTAAAAATAGAAAAGCACACTACAGAGTCAAATGTAGAAATGTCAAATGTGGTAATGATTTCAAGCCAAAATAGTAAAATATTGATGGCGTCTAGTCAAACCCGCTGCGTTTTAATGAATTCTGACGTTGGCCGTTTGTTGTTTTCTATTTTTCTCACAGGATGGGAGAAACGCACAGGCTGAGTGATTGCGACGGGCTGAGAGAGACGTGCCACCTGATCCCCGGTAGTCAGCTACCGGTTACCAGCCATCAGTAACCAGCTACCGATAGTATTAAAGAATCACTGCGGGGAAGGTCGAAATTTAATTGTGTTGAGACTGGGTCAAACATTGATTTGTTTTGATTCGCGTGCCGTCCTGGTTGCTATACCGGTACCTTGTTTATATGGATATCTTTGGATGTTGTCATCACTGCAACATAAAAATACAATTTCTGAGGTGGCCTTGAAGGGACATGATGGTCCTGACTTTCTTTCCTGACTGGTTTATGACATTGGGGAGACAAATTCAAGACATCACAACAACAACAATTGATGACATTGTATTTGTGTTAGGAAAGTAATGAATTTTTATACTGATCTCATGAAATTCATGTCTATGATAACATCAAAGTTTTGCAATGTGAATTTCATTTTTTTTGGGGGGGGGGAGGGGAGCTGTCGTGGATTATTTGAAATGTACATACTTTTTAAGAATGTAAAAAAAAATTGATTTCATTTGTATTTTTTTATATTTTGATTTGTGCCCGTTTTTCTCTATTCTGTCAAGTGTACAAAAAGTTGTTGAATAGGTAACACAACGTACATTTTGAATACTTAATTTCAACAATTCTTGTTTAGGTGCACTGAACATAGGGAGTATACATGTATTTCACCACCCCCCCCCCCTTCAAATTCGTACAAATTTGATAACAAATTGTGATGAAAATGATAAGTTAAGGCAAATTGTCTAAAAGTTCTCAAAAAATCACAGTGCTCCGAAAGTGAATATTAAGATCCGACATTCTATCAATTACTGCCCGTATCCAGATGCAACTGTTTTTGTTGTCTAAACCCCTTCCTTCCCCTTTGATCATGCGGCTCATTATTTAGCCGCTATGATTTGCAGAGACAGCAAAACATTTGTGCCTACGCAGTTCACACCATTTAATGATGCTGGCTCAAGGACCACGCTCCCACCCCCTCCCTCTCACCCCCCCCCCCCCCCCACTCTCCCCCAATCATGACCAAGACCTGACTGACATTTATGAGCTAGTGTCAGATACGATGCCCATGCCGCCCACATACAGAACCGATTTTGGCAGGTATCCGTGTTCCGTTTGACACTCGGCGCAGCGTCATAGAAAGATTCACTGCTTTGCTCTATTTAACGCTGCAAAACGCCCACATACAGTATTACACCGGTCGCTTCAACTTTTGACAAGCAAGTATAGAGATAAGAACCAGAAAATCAGGATTTTTAACATTTTTCATTTACTTCTGCTTGTTTATTAAAATAATCTGTATAAGTTATCAATTGTAATGTAGACTAGTAGAGAAAGCTTCCTAGCTTCCTAGATTTTGGAAATTGGGGGAGTCAGGATTTTTTTTACTTTTTGTTTTTGGTTTGTTTGTTTAAAATTACTTGTAAACGATAACAACTATAATGTAGTATAGTGGGAAAAGGTTCGTAGCTTCTTAGATTTTTGAAATTTGGGGTAACAACAAACTTGTTGAAGACCTAATGGCCGCTGACGCAAAAGATATGGGATATTTAGCATGTTGACACTGTGGTTCAGGCAGGGTGTCCTTAAAATTTCCGGATGAAGTTGTTTATTTGTCTGTTTTGTCTGAAAGTTTATCAGCAATGGAGTGCATCCTAGTTCTTATTATATAACCGACATACAGATCCTTGTCATTTGATTGGTGGAACTCACATCACTTGACATTCGTTATTGCTCCCATTCATGCCGCGGCTCAAAAAGCACTATCCGCCCATGGGAATGGGAAATACTATTGAACAGTTAGGATCATTCTTGTTCCATGACGCGGTATTTGTGTGCAAATGCATGCTGGTGTGCACGTTCAGTGTTGCGCGTAGCCATATTGTTCCAAAGAGCCAGCGCTACAGCGTTGGGTTCAAACATTTTCGTGAAGAGGCGGTTAGGAAGACAGAAATACATTTTCCTCCAGTTTTGTATTGAAATAAAAGTTCAAATATATCAAATGACACGGATCTATATGTCAGTTATATACATGTAAAACAAATATTGAGTGGCTTTAAATTATGAAATGGGAGAAATATGATTGCTCGGTAAAATCTGGACTTTTCCAGTTCACTCGGCTTCACCTCATGAAATGGAAAGGTCCAGATTTTACCTTGCGATAATATTCCTCCCATTCCACGCTGAGCCACTCAATATTAGTATACTTTAACCCATTTTGTCCAGTCTTATTTAGGTTTGGGGGGCACGTGTGGTCTAGCGGTGGAGCACAGGATTCGTGATCAAGAGGTTGTGGGTTCGAGCCCCACCGTGGCCATGCGTGTTGTGCCCTTGAGTAAGGCACTTTACCTCAATTACTCCTCTCAACCCAGGTGTTAAATGGGTACCGGCATTGTTCAATGCTGGGAAGGTAACAAACTCGCTGTGGAGGAGGTGTGGCGATCCCCCCACAGCAGCATTTCATGGACTCGAGTCTGGCCCAATCGCTTCGAAAGAGAGATGGGCACTCCGTTCCTGTGAATACAGGTTCGTCCCCTTTACCTTTTACTTATTTAGGTTTCACATTCAATGCTGCAATGAATATATCAGGCTGGCTTGAATCATGGCCACAATTCTGCAACACAATATTTGCACAGGACGACTTGTCCTATGACGACGGAAGATACTTTGCGGATGTTTTGATTGTTTTCACTGTTGGCTGCACATCACCTAAACCAACACCTCGGATGAGTTACGCAGAAACTGGGCAAAACAGGAAGACGATTTGGAAAATTCCCTTGCGAACTGGTGTGCAAGTACTTTGTGCCCTTCACTGGCTCTCTGGAATCCATAGACCAAACAGGACCGTATCTACAGTTGGGCAAACCCAACATCAAGGACATTGCAAATCAGACTTTTTTTTTCCAAATAAGAGCTCAGTGAATAAATCTTTTTTCATTTTTAAAGGGAAAATACAACATTTGCAAACATCAAAAAATAAAACTACCAAATCATTTTGAAATACCTTGCTGGACTGTTAGTGAATGACAGTGTAAAGTATCCTGTAAAATCATGGCACCTGGTATACTGTGATTTTCAAGAAAAGTGGTATTTTTGTATCAATTTCCAACGCTGGACGGGCGACCAGCGTTGGAAAAAAACTGGCTTTTTTTCAAATACTGGCCCCAATTGACCATCACACTTGTTTGCAATCAATTACACACCTATGAACGGGTACAAGCCAGCTAGACTGGTTCCCTGACCTTACAATTCCCCAATGTATGTAAACTGCTCTGTTTCTTCTTATATGGAGTCAGGGAACCAGACTACAGGAACATTTTTATAGCATTTTCGAACCCAATAGTGTAACTATATTTGCTATATATTTCCAACCCCCCAATTCCATCCATTTCTAAAAATTACAGCAAAAGCAAATGATGTATATTCCCTTTAAATCTTATACATGTACATCCAAAATCTAGTAGGCTAAGGGTCAAGAAGATTACAGACTACGGGTTTGGATCATTTTTCTGAATCGTTAATTCATTGTTGGCTCTGTCATGGGCATTACATTTCCTTCCATTATGCTGGAAGTGCTCAGTCCCGACATTGCGTCTATGGTATGTATTTGAGGGAATGAGATCACGGCCTGTTGTGCGCCCAAATTGCCTGTAAAATACTGTACTCTAGTTTACCTAATATACCAAAACAATTTGATTGGAATTTGTTCACGTTTTCCTTGTAAGTAGCAGTCTGAATTCTGCAGGCACGA